TTCATTTCGAGATTCTAACATCAAGGTAGTGTATTTCTAATCCTTTGGAGTGTTAAGGCTTTCATAAATATGAAGATTTGTCAAGATTTGTATATTTAAGAATTTTAGGGGTTATACTTGATTTCATGATTAAATGGTATTTTAGATGTAAAGAAGGTGTTTTTATGCCACTTTAAAACCCTAAGTAACCTCCTAAAGCTTTATCAGATGATTAGGAACCAAACTAAGACTATTGTAATGATTTTTTGGTGTTTCCTATGTTTAAATAAGACATTTATTTGTTTGAATATCGATATTGGATGAACAATATTGATAATGAATAAAATGGGATGAATTTTGGGGAAAATAGTTGGGAGTATCGATATTACCTCTACAGTATCGATACTCAGGGTAACAGTATTGATACTGGGCCACTTTTCAGCAAATAGAAGCCATTTTTGGTACCAACACTCATAGGGGTATCGATACTTGACTCTAGGGTATTGATACTACAAGTAGATATAGATACTACCCACTTTGGATGGTTAGATTTGACCTCTTTAAGGTCCGTAAGAGCTAAGGATGATTCATAATGATGGAACTTAGTCCATGGGGACATAAAGGGCCAAGAGGGCCTAAAAACACTCATAGGGGCGGGTTACAACCGATGTAACCATACAAGCGATATGATAAGTAGTCATATTACGAAATAGAGAAGTTGTATTCTCAGGAAACGTTAATAAACCGAGAATGTACAAGTCGTCCCTTCAATTCAAGGTGTATTGAAGGGAAGTACGATAAAAACCACTAGAGTGTTATTACCTAATAATAAACCCGAATCAGATAACATGCTAGTTATTATTACAACCAATGAATAGCAAGCAAGGTAACCATCGTTGAGTCGTGAAACCATAGAGAAAGAAATGACTAAAACACCCTTAAGTAACGAAAGAAAAAAATAGAGCAGCTTAATAACTAACATCAATAATAGATTAATAAGCCCTCACATAACGTTCTAAATTAGGAACCGTGAGAGATAGCAGTTAGTGAGAGGATGACCTCACTTTAGTATGTTCATCTATGTTTGGGTGTAGCCAAGCTATTTTAGTTGCCCTAGTCGGGCATTGTGAATGCGCAAGGCACTTCAGTGACTAACTAAGACGTGAGGCCTGAGGCCTCACGAGGAGAGGGTTAGCAATATCAGTACCGATGCTATTTGAACCCTCCATCATCAACCTGATGGCTATGTGAGACCAGAAGATCGTTCAGCAAATTAGTTGGAATTTTACTGATGCTATATGGCATTGGGTTCCCTCAGTTAACTAGTGTCTGATGGCTATGTGAGACTAGAAGATCATTCAACAACTTAGTTGAAATTTTACTGATGCTATGTGACATTGGGTTCCCTCAGTTAACTAGTGTATGATGGCTATGTGAGGCTAGATACTAGTGAGGGTTACATTCAGACAATGCAAAGCAGTGCCAATGTTGCATTCTGATAATGCACAAAAGTGTCAGTGTCGCATTTAGATAATGCATAGTAGTTACAATCAGTGCGGTTAAAGACCCTTTAAAGGTATACTAATGGTGAGGCCCTTAGTAGAGGATTAAGGGAAGCATGAGACTTCTACTTTAGCCATAGAACAATTAAATCTTAAGTAGGTAGCAGTTGATTTAGATCATTCATGTACCTACTTCTTAGTAACAAGTCTTTAGCATGCATGTGTTTATGAGACTCATAATACTACTCTTGATTAGCGATTATACTACTGATCTTGTAAGCTCAATGTTTAGATGTTTTCGTTCACAAGTTTTTAGCTTGGGTCGTTTGTGGAGCACAGTTGTAGCAGGACTTCCAGCATCTCCTTCAGAGTACTGTATTGTAGCTTTAGTGGGCATATGTATTCATAGAACCTTACTAATGTATTTGGTTTATCAAACTTTGAGTTTGTATTATTTGGTTTTAAACCACATGTCACGAAGCTCCGATTTTTATAAAGTGTTTTTAGAACTTTTATTTACGTCCATTATGATGTCATTCAATATATTTGAAATGAAAACAAATAGGTTTTGAAAATCAGGGTTGCCTCTGCAGCACAATGTAGCACTTTAGGCCCAATCGGGTTTAGGGTGTTACAATTGAAGTATAAGTAAGTTTCTTTTTTAGCATTGAAATTTTAAAAGCAATGAAATTGCACTTTATTGTTTTATAATAAATCGGTCACTCGACCGTTAACAATGGTTTCCCTCTTAACGGAATATTAACGTGACACGCCAAACTAATTTTCTAGGCTCCGTTTGACCACGCATGACAAGAACTAACCAAGTCTACTGAAGTGACCAGTACATCACGAGTTTGTGATTCTCTCCCGAGTCTATCATAATCATATAAGAAATGCAGAAAGTAAGTTTAGTTTTCTCATGTTCACACAAGCTAGCTTCATGAAGAATTTAAGATTCGACTCAGAATTTTTTGGGGGATTACCTGGGTTATATAAGAGTCCAGAGTGGTAATCAGAATCCTCAAAACTGCCTCAATTTATATATACAAATATAAAAATTTAGATACATTCGTTCCTTTCTTCACAAAATGAAATAATTCATTGACTCCTTAAAAATGGCATGCTTAATACTGGGAATAGAAAGCGGAGGGTCTTACTCTGTTCATCTTTGTTTTGCCAAAGAAAATATTATGTGGCAATGAAGGGGAAAAGAGTCAAACAACAAAATAAGTGATGTTTTGCTTGATTTTGATGAGGGGTGGAATGCCAAGGAAATCGGGATAATGAGGTTTTCAAAACTGAGCAGAGTGTAGTGTGTAGGGGTTGACGGACTCGACACTGGGTTTGAGTTAAAGTGTGAGGCACGGCTTGATCAGGTCGAGTGCATAAGCGCAGATGAAGCATTTTGGTGGTGCTAGAGGTAAGCAGACGGCTGGTTATAGGGGCATGGGTGAACCTAGGGTATGCACCATTTATGTAATCCACCATCACAAAAAGCTTTATGATACAGTAAGCATATACAAATGTTAGATTCAATGTTCACTTAAAAATTTACATCATTCTTCACTTGGAACCCACAACATACACAAATCCAAAAGAAATACTATTATTTCTTCTTCTCTTCATTTTTCTCAATTTTTTCAACAGTCTTGTCATGACAACTCCTACACGAGACATCATAAGAAGATCCACCAAAAAAAAATGTTTAGACATCTTCTTTCCATGATTTCGGAAACCAAAGAATCTCCTCCTATAAATATTATTCCTACAAATATTATTCGTCCAAGTAATAGTCAACTTAATTGAGTGTCCACAATTACAAAGTGGTATGTTGATCGAGTCTTTCATCATCTCATCCACTTGAAAATCTCTTTTTTTTTTCCTGAAAACTTGTTCTTAAAAGAATATTTATGTTTGAAATTAGAGTTTATTTAAGTATTAGGGACTTTTTAACGAGAATTTTTTCTTGGAGTCAAAAGTTGGTCAACTCTTGTTCTGTGTGATCAAACGGTTCCAAGTAAGTTAATTTAATGTGCTACATCAGTTTTCCATTATTGGAGTAATGATTGTTAACAACCGAGTAATCGAGTTGTTATAAAACGATAATGTTAGTTGAATTAAAAACTTTGATTCATGAGTTAGTCCATACTCCACCGTATAACTCTGAGAATTTGAAATCAACATTCTCTGTCCGTCTTTCACCATTGTATTTGGGTTCTAAAAGAAATATTAGTTGAACCAAAAAACTAAACACTTAAATATTAATTGAATCAAAACTGAAAATAAAATCATTTGGAATGATTGATGGATAGTACAAAGGATATTACTGCCTTTGCTTTTGTTGATTCCTTCATCTTTCTCCAAAACAATGTGGGGCTCCGGAAGAGTGAAATTTTCCCAAATTTTGGCAATGCAAAGAAGAAAAGAAAAGAAAAGTAGATGGCTTTGTAAAAGGCACACCCCAATTTAGGGCTTAACAAGTGGTGTGGCTCATGATTTCATCACTAAAGCCCCCCGTGAGAGAGACACCCAGAGGAATCTCACATTGTGGAAATGAAGAAAGAAAGGTGGTGGGCAAATCAACAACGTGCCGGTCAATCAATTTCTTTTTCCACTCAAAACCCATCACCCCTTCTACTAGTATTCATGGTTATTAAAAGTTCCCCCTTAGATCCACTCTCAATCTCAATCCTTTGTTTACAAGTAGTAGCAAACATATTTGACCGGTTAATCAAACAATTTATCTTTGTTCCTTCATATTTTCTTAGGTTATGGGTTCTAGATCTATTAGGTATACTCCCCGTATTTCTGCTAAAATTCTTCTTCCCCTTCCCTCTAGGCAGGATTAGGATTATATTTTAAAAAATTAAAAAAAAAATCGTTTTGCAAGTCGAACTAGTTTTAGATGATTAAACTTTCATATCATTTTAAGTTCAAATCAGTTTTAGGTTTGAGTCATTTTGAATTCAAATTAGATAATTTCATTTTAGATCTGACTCGTTTAAGTGTTACAAGTGAATTTTAACATGACAAATCATTTTAAATTTTGTTATTCGAATTTAATTTGAGTTCATATTTAAGATATTTTTTATTTAGATCAAATGAAGTCAAAGTATTAATCTCTTAAACTAAATTAGACTAAGTCAAATTTAAATTTATATTGATGGAATTAAAGTTGAGAAAATTGATGTACTCTCATTTCATTTAAAAAATACAATGATATCACATTACAATATATATATATATATATATATTTATTTATTTATTGAAGGAATCAAACGACTTCAATTGTTAAAAGAATAATTATTATTCCAAGAAGTCTTGAGTTCGATCACAACATCTATCAGAATATCTAAACGTTCATTGTCAGTTATAAGACTTTCAGACAATATTATCCCGTGATACTCCAAACTAATAAAATACACATATATATATATATATTATTATTTAGTGTTTTGGGGTTAAATTTGAGTATTTGACTCAATTCTCTTACACAACCTTTATTTTTATTTATTTGTACCTTAACTGCCTCTTTGCATAAACTTTACAAAATCACATTACATATAGGGATATTTTACATTAGAAGAAAAAACCCAAAACTTCAATCAAAATCATAAAGACAAGTAGCACATGACCTTATTGGTAACATCAGACCCATATTTATAATTATATGAATATGCTTAGAAAAAGAAAACTATGTAGCAATATTCATCACTATTGCTTTACAAGTACATAATTAGCAAACATTGGGGCCAAACCCCACGAACCCATTGCCTCCATCGAAGGAAATTTGGATCCCCTCTTGCTGGATGTTCCCTATTATTGAAAGTCCGGAACCTGAGGGAGCAAACGCAAAACAGAAAGTTCCCATATCATCAACCGGAATAAGAAAGTTCCTTGCCGGTAGGGTCAAGATCGGTCCACCCGAGAAATAGAACGATATTGTTGGAACCCGAACCGAGATGAAACCCGATAAGTTATAACATGTATCAAAGATGGACAATCCCGAGGCACGGGGAAGGTTAGCCGTTTGCGAGATAAAAGTGTCGCGAAAGGCATTGTAAGCTGAGGTTGGGAACCTTGTCACGGCCGTGCCTGTGTCCATAACAACTCCTCCGAACCCTAGTTCGGTGAGTCGGAAGATGTCGTTGGATATGGGCACCGAAATACCTCCTACTCCGAGACCTGAAAGCCCAACATAGTAAAAACTCGGGGCTCGTGGGTTACGTAGCAAAGGGACCCATGAAGCCCCGACGGGCATCGCTCCACGACCGAATACCAATGACCCAGATGCATCGGTGCCCCGACTCACTAAACAGTAGCTAAATGCACCACCTGTTTGACCACCCAATTGACCCACAAGTGACATGGATCCACCTCCAAGGCCCAACAACCCGGCTGCCCCGATGAACATGCCCCGGTTAATATGCCCGCATCCGATAGCCACGTTTTTAACCATGGTTCGACCGAAAGTGAGCGTTTCGAGCGCCAAAGTCCCTTTCGTATAAGATCCATCACCATACGAAACTTCGTACCGGCAGGACCGACCAGAATTGCAACCCGAATTCTCGAGCCGATCACAAACTGAAGATCCACACGAGACGCCGGCGAAAGAAGCGGAATCAGCGGGGTTGAAAACTGGGTCGGACTGTCGATAGCATTGGTTACAAGGTTGACACTGGACCCAAACAATATCACTGCCCGAATCAATAACCATATACTGATTCCTAGGAGGGCTACCAACGCCTATCCTCACGAAATACTCTCCACTTCCTTGCGCCATTCCCGAAACGACATCCGACCCAAAATCGTCCAGCTCGTAAGAAGCGTTACCATCGTGGGTTCCGCCGCCGGGGAGACGACGGAAGAGGCTTGCCACCCTTTTCACGTCCCTTTCCATATTTGCTTGAAAACGGCGGCGATGGTCGTGCAAAGTAGAGGTAGCGTTGGAAGATAACTTGTCTCGATGGAAGAGTTTCAGTTTCCAAGTCCCTGGACGATCAGTTTCGGTAACGTTGGAGAGTAGATGAAATTCAGATGGTTTGAGTGGCTTTAACATCTTCGTGTCTAAAAGAGTTTGTTTGACGTTCAAGAGTTGAAAGGGAGGGTAAGAGGCAGTGGCAATGCCAATGCTACATAGGGTTAATTGCAGCATCGTCATCAGGATTGTTGACATTGCTGCTGGTGAAGGTAATGACATGGTCGTTGAGGATGGTAATGGAAGGGGGGGGTTATTTGAGTAGGCGGGTTTAGGCCTAGAAGAAGAAGAAGGACATGTGGGGTTTGGAAATTGATGAACGAAGGATTAAAGATGTTTCTGTTTTGGTTTTTGCACTGATCATCAAGGTTAGCTTAAGCCCACGAGAAGGAGAGATGAATGTGCTTAGCGGACCTGGAATCACGTTTTGCAATTTAATTTGTGGGGCTGCTTCCTTTGTGAAGAAGACCTTGCGTATCTGATTAGCTCCTTGAAGGAAGCGCAAAAGTGTGAATATACCTTTTGTGTATAGTATGGTTCGTCCACACTACTCAATGTTATAAGTTTAAGAAGCGAATTAATATATCTAAAAATTTAACATCGGTAAAATGTCATTTTACCGATCAAATTTATCAATTTAGTCATTTAATTAATTAATTTTTTGGGTAAAGAACACAAATGATCCCCGACTATATGACTTTACTTTATCGAATCCCCTAACTATTAAAAGTTATAAAATATTATCCGACTATAAGGCGTTTTATTGAGTCCCTTGATTATTCATATGTTCCTAAACTCACCATTTTTCATTAAAAAATTATGACAATTTGAGCTAGACGTTAATTTGTTAACTAAGATATGATAGTCATTTAAGATCTTAGGATCAATTTTTATCATATCACAGTTAGCAGGTTAACGTCCAGCTCAGACTGTCATCAATATTTAATAGAAGATTATTGCTTTGAAACATATGAATAGTCTAGTAACCATTTTGTAACTTCTAATGATCAAAAGATTCAACAAGGTAATGCCCTATAATCAAGGGACCATTTCATAACTTTTGATAGTTGGGGACTCAACAAAGTAATGCCCTATAGTTAGAGGACCATTTGTGTACTTTACCCTATTGTTTATTATATTTTTGTATCAAACTTTTATTTTTATTTTTTAATTGGCTCAAATATATAAGACGTTACTTTGTTAAAATATTTATTTCATTTTTTTAATTTTTGCCCTATTGTTTATTATATTTTAATAAGATTAAATAGTCGACGGCAATTTAACAACTTAATTATTCCATCATCTTCAAATTAATTTATTAAAAATAAAAAATAAAAAAAGTAATAAAAATTTAAATAAAGTTAATAAAGTCGAAGGATAAACTAATTATTTATTAAATTATAATAATTATTCCGAGATGTTCATATTATCCCACTTTATATGGATTTAAATCTCAAAATTTACTTTAAAAATATAATATTTCTGTTTAGTCAAAGAAAATAATAATTGTTCTGATAATCGATGAGATAATTATTAATTGCAAGGAGAGCAAAAGATACCAAAACTTTTGGCATTGCCCTTTGGCCCCTTTTCAGTGTTAACATTGAAAGCATATTCATATTATCCCCTTTTCAGTGTTAACATTGAAAGCATATTCATATTATATAGGCATTAATGAAGAATATAATTGATTAGCAATGAACCCAGTCACGATCAGATGTTAATTAGCTAAACTTGTCTTTTCTTTAAATTAATTAATTGAAACCCAAGAGATATATAAAGTGATAATCTTGGCCTAAATTTTAAGCTCCTTTTCGGTTTATATCTTTTTCACAAGTTGCATGCTCACCTGTACTTTATCAATCGTGACAGCAGCAAGAGTAGTGCATCCTCTCCTTTATTTTAGCTCCATCGCGGTTGAATCTTATATATATATATATTAATTAAATACGAATTAAGTGACTGTAGTGCTTAAAAAGATTATTGTTATCTTTAGAGATATCGAGTTCGAACACGATCTTTACATAAATATTTATGTGTTTATTATCAAATGATTCATAATATTTCAAATAATTATTATCTTGTATTCACTTATTATATACAGGAGAATGGGTAGATGATGAAATTGTATATCAGGGTAATGATCTGACTGCTTGCCCATGGGCCATGCACCATGGTGATATCATGATGAACAATTTGCCTCTTTAGATGTTCACGCATGATGCTGTTGGCTGGCCATGCAATAAAAATGAGAGGGAAACACACAAGGGGTGATCGTGGCTATATGGATAGACCGAGTGAGGACGATAATCCTTCTATAAATTTTAAATTTTCATATAATATAAATATTTTTTTTTGTAGATATTTGTTTTCGCCTGGTCATTTTATTTTTAATTTTTATTTATCTATTTTATTATTATTATTATTATTGCAAGCTTGTTACAAACCCAAATCGGGCGCCAATTACAAAGGGCTAGCTAGCCAAAACGTTACAAAATTGACTCGAACGCCCAAATGCGAGAAGCCCACAAAATGAAACCCAAGGTAGCTAGGGTTTCATTCTATTCTCCAGCCGCCTAGTCTCTCATTTGTTGGATCAGGTGTCACCCAATGGTGCAGATTAAAGGACATTAGGGTTTTATCATAACCCATCAGCCGTCAACACTCCTCAACCGTTGGATCTGATCAATGATCTAACGACTCTGATCATTTGGAGAAGGTGTACCTTTTGATTTTTGCGTGTGTGGCACACGTAACGACTGTTCGGCTCCTACGTGCATGGGATATTTCGGATAAGGGTCCGTTGAGCTTTGATTTTGTTCATTTTGGTCCCCAAATCTAGTTTTTCAGGTTTTCAAATTTAACAGTTTGTTTTGTGCGTTGTTCATTTTAGTCCTATGTATTAGGTTATTTTAATTTATGTTGTTATCTTACATTTTTCTTGTAATTTGAATATTGTTTTATTTTGGTCCCCATGTTTAGATGATTTAAGTTCTTTCATGTTTGCACATTTGATATGTTTTGTTCGAAACTTTCATTTTAATCATATGCTTGTTTATGGATAAAGCATGATTCCTGTGCCCAAAATTATGTAACTTTTGGTATTTTAAGTCAAAATGTGGATGGGTTTAATGTGTTATGATAACCTGGAATTTGTTTTTCTTTTAAATTTGGTCACCAGTACATGCTGCTTTGATGTGTGTTTATGTATTGATTTTTATTTTGATAATGATGAATATTTTACATTTAATAGAATATATAATACATGTTTGGTACTTTCCTAATACATTAACTTTGTAAATACTTCTTTGTTTTTAGTTTTATTCCATTAGATTTAACATCATAGACTGTTTAATATGTGTCGGAACCGTCTTTCGGGTAGGCCTGGAATTGGGCTTCGACTTAGGAAAATGTGGATTGGGAGTCGCCACTGATCATTTATTTTATTAAAAATGGGTTGATCGGATACCTTATTTCTTACCTGATCTGCGTCTTACCAGTGATATGTCGGATTCGGGAGTCGGTTACAGTTAAGGAAGGGTTAGCACCCTTGAACTGCCCTTTCGGTACTACGTAATTTCCAGTTGTCTTAGATTAAGAAAATTGATAGTTTAACTTAAAAGGTAAAATAACGATCCAAAACTTACCTTTGATTGATTGAAAATGTACCCTTAAAAGGTCGATAAACGTGTTAGATAAAAAACGTAGTGAAAATAAGGAAAATGAAATAAAAGTAATAAAAAATGAAATGAAGTAAAGATAAAATAAAGTAAATAGATTACATAGAACAAATAAAAATAGAAGAGATTAGAAATAAAATAAAACGAGGATAAACCTAAAGAAAATAAATCAGAAAATAATAATAATAATAATAATAGTAATATATATATATAATGAACAAATGAAAAAAATACAAATAAATAAGTAAATAAAAAATAAAGGGGATAAAAAATAAATAAATAAAAAGAAAAAATATAAAAAAAAAAGTAAAATTGAAAAGATAGAGATATATATATATATATATATATATATATATATATATATATATATATATATATATATATATATATAAACGTTTAAAACAAAATATTAGGAAAATATAATAAAAAATATACATAGTAAATAAATAAAATGGATAAAAATAATACATCTATACCTATATATATATATATATATAAATGGTTGTCTCTTGTTCCCATATATAATAGGGTAAGGGGGACGTAAGATAGTAGGCTGCCCCCAACACTAGGTTGAGAACAACTTCCGTAGGAGACCTCCGAATTATGAAATGCCCTCCATGTAAAAATATATATATACTAATATTAATATTAAAAAAAATAAAGGTAAGAAAATAAATTTATACATATAATACTAATACTAAAGAAAGTAATGTACGTAATATTAAAAAAAAGAAATAAATAATGCGAGGGGACCAAATTGAAAGGAATAACAAACTAGGGTACAAATTTTGAAATAATTAGAGGATTAAAATAAGGTTTAAAAGAGAAATAGACCAAATGGGTGATTTACCCTTCTTGTTTAGAAAACATGCGGGTTGCATGTGGGCACGAGTCAGGTCGTGGAGGTCCTGGCGGGTCATATAAAGGCTAAACTTTGGCCTAAAATGCTCATTTCCTTTATTTTGAAACCATGCAACCCCCTCCCCCTCTCTAAATTCTCTGGGCTGTTCTTCCAAGTAAAGAACACATGCCCCGTTTTCCAGAAAATTGGCCCTCGACAGCCCCGTATCGCCTTGTCGACCACCGTGAACAGCGCCAGTCATCGTCATCGGCTGTGAAAATTTTTATTTTTTATTTATTTTTTTGAAACCTCAAAAACTCCTTTTGTTCCCACTTCAAAAATCAATTTTTTTTTTCAAAAAAAGGAAATAGCCTCGGGGTAGATCTAGGGTCGAAACTTTGAAACCCTCATCCCTTTGGTCATCGACGTTCGAGTCAACCAAAAAGAAAGAGAACAACCACGCATGCAAAATCATAAATTCAACAAGGTAAAAAAAACAATACCTTTCTTATTTCACTTCGAAATGGTTACAAGCTGCTTGTGTTCATTGTTTTTTCGTTTTTTGAATGTTACTTGGGTATTTGGTAGTCTATTTCGTGTGATCTCTTCTTGTATTTGTATCAACTGTCTTTACAATGGATTCGATTACATCTATTTATACTGAAAAAAAAACTAACTATTTTTAGTCTCCTATTTAAAATAGAACTCTAATGCGAGTTGGTTCCTTTGGTTGTTTTGGGTTGTTTGTTGGTGTTTTGTCCCATGCTTCCACGTTCGTTGGTGGCAGAGAAATCCGGTGTTGGTGCATGAAGAATGGTGAGATATACTTGTGGCGTTGGCTTGGATGAGATGGGGTTAGGGTT